AAAGGGGTGATGGTTCGCGGATTCCTGTGGTAAGGTTTTTGTCTTGGCAAATGCCGCGGTGATGGATCGCGGATGCTTGTGATAAGGTTTCTGTCTTGACAAGTGCCTGCCCTGCCCTGCCTCTGCCCTCTTGAACCGAAAACTTGTTAGATTCAGTTATCTTTCTTGTGAAAGGGGTGATGGTTCCCGGATGCCTGTGGTAAGATTTTTGTCTTGGCAAATGCCGCGGTGATGGATCGCGGATGCTTGTGGTGAGGTTTTTGTCTTGGCAAGTGCCTGCCCTGCCCTGCCTCTGCCCTCTCAGTTATCTTTCTTGTGAAAGGGGTGATGGTTCCTGCCCTGCCTCTGCCCTCTTGAACCGAAAACTTGTTAGATTCAGTTATCGATCTTGTGAAAGGGATGATGGTTGGCGGATGCCTGTGGTAAGGTTTTTGTCTTGGCAAATGCCGCGGTGATGGATCGCGGATGCTTGTGGTAAGGTTTTTGTCTTGACAAGTGCCTGCCCTGCCCTGCCTCTGCCCTCTTGAACCGAAAACTTGTTAGATTCAGTTATCTTTCTTGTGAAAGGGGTGATGGTTCCCGGATGCCTGTGGTAAGATTTTTGTCTTGGCAAATGCCGCGGTGATGGATCGCGGATGCTTGTGGTGAGGTTTTTGTCTTGGCAAGAGCCTGCCCTGCCCTGCCTCTGCCCTCTTGGACCGAAAACTTGTTAGATTCAGTTCTCTTTCTTGAGAAAGGGGTCGATGGTTCGCGGATGCCTGTGGTAAGCTTTTTGTCTTGTGCCGCGGATGCGCTGTGGTAAGGTTTTTGTCTTGGCAAGTGCCCGCCCTGCCCTGCCCCTGCCTCTTGAACCGAAAACTTGTTAGATTCAGTTATCTTTCTTGTGAAAAGGGTGATGGTTCGCGGATGCCTGTGGTAAGGTTTTTGTCTTGGCAAATGCCGCGGTGATGGATCGCGGATGCTTGTGGTAAGGTTTTTGTCTTGGCAAGTGCCTGCCCTGCCCTGCCTCTGCCCTCTTGAACCGAAACTTGTTAGATTCAGTTATCTTTCTTGTGAAAGGGGTGATGGTTCGCGGATGCCTGTGGTAAGGTTTTTGTCTTGGCAAATGCCACGGTGATGGATCGCGGATGCTTGTGGTAAGGTTTTTGTCTTGGCAAGTGCCTGCCCTGCCCTGCCTCTGCCTTCTTGAACCGAAAACTTGTTAGATTCAGTTATCTTTCTTGTGAAAGGGGTGATGGTTCGCGGATGCCTGTGGTAAGGTTTTTGTCTTGGCAAATTTCGCGGAGGGGAATGGATGCTTGTGGTAAGGTCTTTGTCTTGACAAGTGCCTGCCCTGCCCTGTCTCTGCCCTCTTGAACCGAAAACTTGTTAGATTCAGTTATCTTTCTTGTGAAAGGGGTGATGGTTCGCGGGTGCCTGTGGTAAGGTTTTTGTCTTGGCAAATGCCGCGGTGATGGATCGCGGATGCTTGTGGTAAGGTTTTTGTCTTGGCAAGTGCCTGCCCTGCCCTGCCTCTGCCCTCTTGAACCGAAAACTTGTTAGATTCAGTTATCTTTCTTGTGAAACGGGTGATGGTTCGCGGATGCCTGTGGTAAGGTTTTTGTCTTGGCAAATGCCGCGGTGATGGATCGCGGATGCTTGTGGTAAGGTTTTTGTCTTGGCAAGTGCCTGCCCTGCCCTGCCTCTGCCCTCTTGAACCGAAAACTTGTTAGATTCAGTTATCTTTCTTGTGAAAGGGGTGATGGTTCGCGGATGCCTGTGGTAAGGTTTTTGTCTTGGCAAATGCCGCGGAGGGGAATGGATGCTTGTGGTAAGGTTTTTGTCTTGACAAGTGGCTGCCCTGCCCTGCCCATGCTTGGTGGGAGCCCTGTCCTGTTTTGCTGCCCTGCCCTGCCCTGCCTGCCCTGTCCTGCCCTGCCCTGCCCTGCCCTGCCCTGCCCTGCCCTGCCCTGCCCTGCCCTGCCCTGCCCTGCCCTGCCCTGCCCTGCCCCTGCCTGGATGGTGGGAAGGGGATGCAAAACAGCGTGGCCCAAATACCCTAAAGCCCAAACCCTAAGCCCTGAACCTTAAAGCCCAAACCCCAGCCCCTAAACCCTAAAGCCCAAACCCCAGGCCCTAAATCCTAAAGCCCAAACCAGGCCCGGAACCTTAAAGCCCAAACCCCAGGCCCTAAACCCTAAAGCCCAAACCCGTAGGCCCTAAACCCTAAAGCCCAAACCCTAGGCCCTAAACCCTAAAGCCCAAACCCTAGGCCCTGAACCGAGCCCAAAACAGCTTTTGCCACGAGTTTTGATCAGATGGCCACGAGTTTTGATCAGATGGCCACGAGTTTTGATCAGATGGCCACGATTTTTGATCAGTTGGCCACGAGTTTTGATCAGTTGGCCACGAGTTTTGATCAGTTGGCCACGAGTTTTGATCAGTTGGCCACGTGTTTTGATCAGTTGGCCACGAAGACTACAGGGTTTAAATATACATGGGTATATATGTTTAGGGTCTAGGGTTTAGGGTTTAGGGTTTCGGGATTCGGGTTTAGGGTTTAGCGTTTAGGGTAGCACGTAGCAGAGCAGCCTCAAGAACTAGAATGGTGTTTCTCGGGTTCCTCTAGTGGGTTCCTGTAAGGGTTGCCATAAGGGTGCAATCCCTTTAGAGGGTCCATATATACTACCACTATGGAATTAGGCCTCCAAAGCCATAATAGGGAGGGTCTTTTGGGACCTAATTCCATAATGGTAATATATATGGACTTTTTGGGATCTAGGGTCCTTAGTAATGAGACTGAGTCCTGGGGCACGTCATTAGGAGCCCTCAGTAACAGTACTACGGATTGCTCAGGCGTCTATATAAATTAAACAAATCCCAAGCCCAACGCCCCAAAAAACTCTGATCAAACCCTAACCCCTAACCCGATCTCTCAAACCAACAGCCTGAACACCGAAGGCCTAACGCCTAATACACAAAATCCCACAATCGAAGCCGGAAATCTCAATTTCCCGCCCAACCAAAAAGCAAACAGCCCCCAACAGCAAACTTCGAATCCGACCAACACAAAGTTCTTAAGGCCAAAACTACCACCCGCGTAGAGCCCTGACACGACCCTTAAAGGAACACTTAAAGAAACCCTTAAAGGAACCTCACCCACTTAACCCTAAACCCTAAACCCTAACCCTGCCGGAGGCGCAGAAGTAGCCACCGGAGGAGTCCGTGCGCCAACTCTCTGGGCCTCGGTGGAAGTACGGAAGCTTCGTCTTGCGGTTTAGGGTTTAGGGTTCAGGGTTCAGGGGTTTAGGGGTTTGGGGGTTTAGGGGTTTAGGGGTTTAGGGTTTAGGGTTTAGGGTTTAGGGTTTAGGGTTTAGGGTTTAGGGTTGCGGTTCGGGGGTCTAGGCTTTGGAGGTTTGGGGTTCGGGGTTTAGGGTTGCGGTGCAGGGGCTTAGGGTTTTGGGGTGGGTCTCTTGACAAGTGAAGGTCGAATGTCTGTCTCAGTTTGGGGATTTAGGGTTTAGGAGATTTTCAGGTTTAGGATTTATATAGGAGATATTATGGCCGCTTGTTCCACGTTGTTCAGTGCGTTCCAGGGTGGTCTAGGCTCGAGGTCATATTCGGGCATTTTGGGATCTACGATTCGGGATGTGGGTTCAGGATCTGGGGTCTAATGAGCTGTAAGATTTGAGGGGTTTTACGTTGTCTTTCGGATTTGAAGCCTCTGGCTTCATTCAGGATGTAGGACCTTTGAAGCTCGTGGCGTGTATGGTTGAGAAAAGATGTAAGCTTCAAGGGTCTGGATTTTCAACCATATGTTTACTTAAGGGTTTGGAGTTTCCGGGCTTAGGGCTTTATGGTTTTAGGGTTTGGGGCTTTAGGGTTCAGGGAAAAGAGCTTGCGGAATTGAAGGTTAGGGCTTCCCGGGGGGTGGAGTTTGGAAAGAAGTGAATTAAGGTCTTCTGCCTCAACCTAGACCCTAAACCGTGGTTCAGGATTTAGATGCAGGGCTTGAGGAATGTAGGGGGATTCAGGATTGGTTTCAGCCTCTAACCTCTGCCTGGGTTCTTGGGTTCAGGGTCGTGGGTTGCATTCAGGAGCTTAGGGTTTGGAGTATTTTGGGGTTTCGGAAATTGATGTCCGTAAATCCTGAACCCTAGACCCTGACGTAAAACTCCAACCAGCTATACGGCTGCCAACCCTTCTGCCAAAGGCTAATGACTCAGAGTTTTGCTTTAAGGGCCATTGATACCTCAAGTGTGAAGGGGTTAACAACGACTTTGCAGACAAAACTTGACAATCATGAGCATAACCACAGACTCGAGCCAGCGACCTCAACTTCCGCATCAGCCCATGCAGTTACCGAGAGTGGTATGCCAGAAACCCTAAACTCAAAACCAATGCAGATCTGTCAAACATCCTCTGTATGAGCCCCGGGCTCTCAATACCAACCCTACGCCTGTAAAGGAGTCTATCTTATTGTAGTATCCTTAAGGGAGGGGGGTCCAAGCCGGGTATATAGCCTAGTGATCCCTAATCCTCCCTAGTACTCCCTAAGGTTCCCTTACAGTCCCCTAAGGATTCCTTATACCCTCCCCCCTTGAACCACCCTCCCTTAAGGATCCTATAATCCTAGGGCTTCGGTACCAACTAAACCTATTGTAGGGGCTGAGTACTTAGCAATTACATCACCTTGTAGTCCCTCTACAGGTCTGCCAGAACATGCCCCTAACATACGATCCTAACTACTGAGCCTCTGGGTCAAATTCCTTTGCTCTACACTGCGAAAAAGACGAAGCTGCTGTTAAAAAAAATCGACGGCTGTAGCAGGGAGTTCAGGTCTTAGGGCATACGGCTTTGAGCTTGAAGGTTTCGTATGATAGGCTTCAGTATTCGGGTATAGAGGACAAGCTGTAGGATTTAGGGTTACATATGATGGAACCCTGCCAACCACCGTATGTTCAAACCCAAAGCCCCTTGACACATAGCACAGAGGCCGGTCCCCATCTTCCCGTCGAGAGTCACTCGGTCCCCTCATCATGGGCGCAGCGCGACATGTGACCCCAAACGTGATCTCTATCCTGGGCAGGGGGGAGATCTTCGGGGTGTAGGGTTTAGGGTTTAGGGTTTAAGGTTCGGGGACGGCTGGAGATCACTGGTTGCCACACACGGCCATCGCCGACTGCATCTGACGGAGGCTCCTGCTATGCTTCCCTTCAAAACCTGTCAGGATTTTGGGGTTACGGGTCTGGGGAACCATGCAAGGCCGATTCTCAGTAGCCACAACTGAACACTGCCAAGAGTCGACGTAGCTGCTGCAAAATAGAGGCGGCGTCTTTGCTTCTTTGCAGCAATACATTTTCTTCTCCTGCGGTCGGACTGAGATTTCTGTCCTAATATAAGGGCCAAATGATTACATAATGGGCCCTGGAACCCTGTTCTAATCATTGAGTTAAGGCCCCTATAGTATGCTGCCTCCTTTCTACGAAGCCTGTGAAGACTCCAAGCATACCACGGAACCCATCACCCTGCAATGCCGACCTCCAAGAACTCTGAGGCCTCAAGCCTCTACCCCAAACCCTCCAGCCTAAATCGCAAAGCCCAAACCCGGAAAGACCCTCAACCCCTATAAACCAAACCCTTTCGCCTTAAGCCCCAGGCAAAGCCTAAAGCTCCGAAAACTTGAACCCCAAAACCCCTCCACCTTGAATCTCAAAACCCCTTAAGCCCTAACAGGGTTTTGGCGCACGGTATAGTATATACAACTATCAGAATCAAGGAAACCCACGGAATAGCATTCCTCATGATTCCGACCCCTAAACATGCGCTGTGTCATAGCTTCCCGCTGATCGTCCTCTGGCCACCACTTCCAGCGGCCAAGATTGCGATTGCAATCCCAGAATTCCTAAGTGGGACTTAGGATTAGTGGGACCCTTGGGGATATAGACCCTCTCAGTAAGGTCCCTTTTAAGGGAGCCAAAATTAGGGCAAAGGGTGCAGGGTTTTAGGGCTTTGGTTTCAAGCGTTTAGGGTCCTACAACCCATCTATTGAGGAGTTTCCGAAAATTAGGGGTACCCTGTTTGGTGTCGCTATAATAAGGATCCTATTAAGTATTTCGGGTACAGAAATAAAGTCCCCCATTTTCGGAAATTCCCATTTGGGCAGTCGGACTGAAAACCTCAGTCATTCATTTGCCTGGCGAGCGGCTGGCTTTGGGTGATGTCCTGGCGCATGGCCAAGACCCGTACCCGTACGAAACACCCGGAGCCTTGGGTCGCGACCCTCATCCGTAAACCCGAAAACCCTAGCACTCGGGGCCCTAAACCCAGGCATTTAGAGGGGGTTTGAGGCATTCAAGGCTCGGAGCTCGGGTGATAGAACCCAGTTACGGCTATGCATGGCGGAGTTTTGCAGCCTTGCCGTTGGTGCCGCTTGTCATGTTGATTCGATTACCTGCTGCACGCATTGGTACTCCTGCTTTTCTCAAGAGGTACCTGCATGCTTAGAACACGACGATCATCCTTACTCCACCATCAGTACCCTTCCGACAAGTGCTCCTGGGAATCCGATTCTCACTATTTCTTACTTTTAACCTAAATCATAAAACCTCAACCTTCTGAGCCCTAAACCCTAAGCCGCCCTAAGCCACGAACCCCAAACCCCCAGCACGACTGATCACCCAAGAGCCAGGATCTGTCGGGTCTACGACGTAAGATAGGGGCGTTAATAGTTGGAACAGAGCTTTGGGTGAATATTACAGTCTGATTTTCGGGATTGCTGGTAAGGACTGTTTGCAAAACCTAAAGCCTTCCCAACAAAATTCCAACCCTAAAACCCCAAACCCTAAAACCCTTCGTCAAGGAGTCCTTGAAGAGCAGTGTGACCGATGCGACACTGCTCCTTTTCGCACAGGAACTCGCTCTCTGTGGGAAACATGAAACTGTAAAGTCTGCCACGTGGCTTCCTTGAAGATAACTATGCTTTTTCGGATTCCTGACTAAACGGATCGACAAGTGCACTAAACACTTAACCCTAAACCCTAATCCCTAAACCCTAAACCCTCGAGGTGAGGTCGCTCGGGCAATGGGGGCCTAACTTACGATGCCAGCAGCTAGCTGTTTTTGAGCGTCTCTATAGATAGATAGATGGATAGATAGATAGGTAAATCGGTAGGTAGGCAGGTGGCTAGGTAGGTAGGTAGGTAGGTAGGTAGGCAAGCGGGCAGGTAGGAAGATAGGAAGATAGGTAGATCGGTAGATAGGTAGGTAGGTAGGTAAGGTAGATAGGTTGGTTAGGTTAGGTAGATAGGCTAGGTGGGCAGGTAGGTAGGTATAGGTCCCTCAGGTAGGTAGGTAGGTAGGTAGGTAGGTAGGTAGGCCGATGTAAAAAACGGAAACACACACCACTGCAGTCCTTTACAATATGTCTTCTTTGCCTTGATCTCGTTATTTTGTTATAAGATGTTTGGCTATATTATGTTGGAGTGTATGTCAGCCCCCGGGGTGACGCTTTCTGTTATGATCTAGTAAAGTATGGTATAGTATAGTATGTTGTATGATACTAGTCTTTTTACGCAGCTCCTGGCAGTCTTCCACGGGGTAGGGGCCCTCCGAGGACGGTCGGCAGCCGCCCTTGGCCGGGTCATCCTGGCCGGTACCTGGGCGTTCAGGGTTTCTTGTGCTTGTAGAAATTCTAACTACTCTGAATCATTGTTCCAGCTGTTATTACAAAACAGTAAACAAACTGTTTCGATTGCTGTGAGAGAATAAGTCAATGTTTCGTGAGACATTTAAGGGTCCAGTGTTGTAAGGGTTCCTAATAAAGGGGGTCCTTAAGGGATCTATAAGACGAGATCTACATAGGGGCCTTAAACATTAGAACAGGGGTTTGGGGCCCATTAGACCTTTATTCTCGTAAGGAGCCTCCAAAATACTACTACTACTACTACTACTACTACTACTACTACTACTACTACTACTACTACTACTACTACTACTACTACTACTACTACTACTACTACTACTACTACTACTACTACTATTACTACTATTATTCATAGTATTGGTAATTATTGGGGCCCCTATATTACCGTACTCTGGTGGTCTCACGGGCTTCGAAGGCACAGGATTCCGGGTTCAGGTTTACCTGGACCGGAAACATACCTTTTTAAAAATTTTAGGGCTCCTTAATATGATTTCCTTATAAGTGTCCTTAAAATGGTAGGTTATTCGGGATAAAGGTAGAGTTTCGTGCAAGCAAACCAGAAGGACCTGGATGTACTCAAGTAGAGGCACAGAGGTAGCCGCCGCTGGGCCCAGTCAACCAATTGTCCGGACCTCAAGAGGCTGTTGGATTCGAGCCGATGTAGAGGCCTTTTTGGAACAGGGTCCTGGAATATATATATATATATATATATACATACATACATATACATATATACACACATGCTGCTACAAGGGAAAAATAAAAAGCATCTGCAATTGTGCGGACTTCTGTATTAGGTGATCGACGGCATACGCTCTAGTGCTCATAATTGAAGCTGCGGGAGGCGGGTTTCGGAGTGTAGAGCGGGCTTATGGCTTAGGGTAATTATAGGATTAAGTGTTTGGGGTTTTCGAAGTCGGGCCACGGTAAGCATTCAGGGCTGCAAAAGGGGAACACTTCCGGAGAACAGACGTCTCATGCAGGTAATATAGGGGACTTAATTTCTTCATGATTAGAGTAGGATCAAGCATGATATTAAGCCCCCAAGATAGTGCAGGCCATTATTAAGGCCCGTAGGTAATTATTAAGGCCCCTATATTATGTTGTGGGATGAGCTCATCGCACAAGCCGGACTCGTCGGGTCGTCAAGGTCTTCGCCCTACTCACAGTTACTACGATGACCTGCATTCTTTATCATCGTCGCCGTTAGCAACAATACCATCAACAGCAACATCACGAAGGCTATCACCAACGGAATCGTCGCCATCCTCTCATCACAATCGGGCATCGCCGCCGCAGCAGCACCACCAGCCACCAGCACAACCCGACAGCACAGCCTATTACTATTATTACTCTTATAACTACTATTATTACTACTACTAGGTATCGTAAAATATTACTATTATTATACTCTTACCTTCTCGGCATGATCTGCTCGTCCCTGGGCGCCGGACATGCCCCTGCATCCTCTGAGGAGCACCGGGGTGGGAGACCTGGTGACTCCTCACTTTCCTGAGATGGGTTTAGGGTTTAGGGTTTAGGGTTTAGAGGTTTAGGGTTTAGGGTTTAGGGTTTAGGGTTTAGGGTTTAGGGTTTAGAGGTTTAGGGGTTTAGGGGTTTAGGGTTTAGGGGTTTAGGGGTTTAGGGTTTAGGGGTTTAGGGTTTAGGGTTTAGGGTTTAGAGGTTTAGGGGTTTAGGGTTTAGAGGTTTAGGGGTTTAGGGTTTAGGGGTTTAGGGTTTAGGGGTTTAGGGGTTTAGGGTTTAGGGGTTTAGGGGTTTAGGGTTTAGGGTTTAGGGTTTAGGGTTTAGGGAGGGGCTCGGCGAAGAGACTTCTTGCGCGCTTTGGGGAGTTCAGCAAAGAGAATTCTTGAGAGCTGTGGGGAGTGGGGCTTTGGAAACATCCCACCCTGCCACCCCGTGATTGGGGTGGACTGGGCATCTGGCCCGCTGGTTGCGCATGCAGTCGTTCATACACGAATACCGTGGAGCACAGAATCGGCAGTAGGCCCGGTTCGCTCAGAATACCAGTGTTAGTGTGGCACATGCTTTGTCATTCCGACCTTCAGCAACATGTACCACACCTTAACTGTGACAGCATCTGTAACACTACTGGTAGTTGCACTGACAATGAAGAATCACTCGTCGAGTACGCTCTCACTATGGATAGCAGGAACAATGCTGGTGACGGCTGGTGCCAGAAGGATGTTCAGTGCAGGGATTGAAAATAGTTCAAGTTGCCGCAAGCTGCGCAGAAGCATCTCGGCGAATCTCATGACAGCCGCACATGCGCAACGAGAGTGACAGTAGCAATGCGCTCTTGCTTCAGTTTGTTGCTTATCTGCCCTAATAAAAACCCGGCACCCGGGTCCCAAATGCTAGCACTCTGTAAGTCGAGACGAGTGACGCCGAAATGCCCACAAACGTTCTTGGCCTGCTCGTCGTGCTGACAGCAGTACTCCTTCTTTTCCTGCTGTCAGCCAAACTCTTGCTCATGAAGTGTCAACGAATCAGAGTGGCCGTGCTTTGACTGGGAGTTTCCGTTTACCCAAACAATCATTGACGACGTCTGCGCGGTGACCTTTGGCCATTGTTTGCTTACAAAAGCAAATCGCAGAAACCGGCAATATTTCTATTCATCCTCACTGAACCCTAAAACCCTGAATCCTAAACCATCCTAAACCCCGCCCTTTGCAGCATGCAAAGCCCGGAACCTCTGGCCACCATTCCCAACGATCGAGATGGCGTCCGCAATTCCAAATCTCCTCAAAAGCTTTCGCTACGTTAAACCACATGCAACTTTGGGTTTAGGGTTCAGGGACAATTTCTAAAACACATAGAACCGCGACAACGCAACTAACTGCTGACATGATTTGTTCCTGTTGCTGCTGTGAGAAGTATTGCTACTATGAATGTACTAACCGGTCTAATTCCGCGAGGGATGCAGCGGACAACAGCCGGCCAAATCTTTACGATTTCGCGGCGCCAAGCCGAAACCAATGGCTGATGCTTATAGCTTCAGTATTGGAGGGCATGCACGAGGAAAGATCAGGGGTTTTGCAGTCTTTGCATCTGTGGAGGTAATATAAAAGTCCAAAGTCCATGATAAGGCCACTACTCAGGGCCCTATATACCTATACTTTAAACATTATCCAGATCCAACTGTTACTTAGTGGGGTCAGTACCCGATAGAGTCCGATAGAGATCCTAAACCCTACAATCCTTCCAAAGAAAAGCCTGCACCCCCAAACCCTGAAACCCCAACACTCTAAACCCTGAACCCTAAACTCTAAACCCTAAACCCTAAACTCTAAACCCTAAACCCTAAACTCTAAACCCTAAACTCTAAACCGTAAACCCTAAACCCTAAACTCTAAACCCTGAAGCCCAAATACAGGATAGGTCGCCGGTTCTGGCGGTCCAGACACGTCGCCTGCAAGGCATGTGGAGCTCATGGTTCTGCAAGGCTTCTTCAAGCGGTGTCCCAGGGTTCTACAAGGGTCCTACAATCCTATAAGTTGCCTATAAGGAAGTGGAAAAAAGGCTCCTAAACCCTAAACCCAAAACCCTAAACCCTGGAGGCGTTCCGGCTACATCTCCGACACCGGAAGGATTGGTGGGGCCCGGGGTTCTCGCCCTAGGGTGAGTTGTTTCGACTTTAGGGTTTGGGTTTAGGGCTTAGGGTTTGAGGGTTTAGGGTTTAGGGCTTAGAGTTTGAGGCTCTAGGGTTTAGGGCTTAGAGTTTGAGGCTCTAGGGTTTAGGGCTTAGAGTTTGAGGCTTTAGGGCTTAGGGCTTAGAGTTTGAAGGTTTAGGGTTTAGGGCTTAGAGTTTGAGGCTTTAGGGTTTAGGGCTTAGAGTTTGAGGCTCTAGGGTTTAGGGCTTAGAGTTTGAGGGTTTAAGGTTTAGGGCTTAGAGTTTGAGGGTTTAGGGTTTAGGGAATAGAGTTTGAGGCTTTAGGGTTTAGGGCTTAGAGTTTGAGGCTCTAGGGTTTAGGGCTTAGAGTTTGAGGGTTTAGGGTTTTTTTTTTTTTTGAACGCCTTTTTCCCCCTCGCTGTTTGGGTTGGGTGAATCCGCCCTTTGCGGAAGGCTGCTACCGGACCCTTGCGTCACGCATGGTCACCCTTCACGAGCTTGATCAGGCCACATCGCGCTTCTCTCCGGCTGACTCGAAAGCGACCCCATCCCCTGCATTGCCCGCATTGCTCCCATCTGCTGCTCCCGACGTGCTCACTTCATCTTGCTGTGTCATCTCAACCCCCTGCCACGGAACCGTTGTAGCATCCGAGTCCGGGGGTACTGTGGGTCCCACTGCCGAGGTTCCACCAGCATCGTCATCCCACAGCACCATCCCCTCCAGGGACTCACGAACTGCCAGTGACATGCCCTGCACCTGCATGAACTGAAACAGCACCAGCCACACCGCTCCATGCATCTCTATCACCTGGCTGTCAGAAAGAACTCCTGCATTCCATCGCTCATAGACCTGCCTGACAACCGTGAAAGGTACTCGAAGAGGCAGTCGAATCGGCATACTATCGGCATTGAGAGGGGGATGATCCAAGGACTCGGCGTCAGACATGTCCAGCACTGTTGCCAAGTGGGGGTAGATGCCGTCCAAACCCCATTGCTTCCAGCCCCTGAACAACTCCAACCATACAGTTCCAAATTCACGGAGCACCCCCATGTCGCTGCGCTGTCCTGACCGCCATTGTCCGAACATGCTCTCGAATATGCCAAATCTGGGCTTGGGTTGGCCCTTGGCAACGAGAGGACTTTGTCCCAGCACGAGGTCCTCCACTGTGATGGGTCCCTTGCCTTCCACTTCGTGTGTCTCAGCCACGCACTGGTGCTCTTCATCCTCAGCTTCTCCCACTGCAAACTGGGCCTCCATGAGTTCGACCATTTCTCCCCCGAACCGCTGCCGTACCTGCTGAAGGTTCAACTCGCCGGCTCTCCATTTTTTATATACCTCCTGGTACTCAGCAAAGTCGAGGTGAGGCAGAAGGTCCGGAGCTGTATCCAAGTGCACCTGCATACTGTTGTCCCGAGCATCCTCACCCCGAACCGGTAGAGAGGGTGTCGCCACCGGGACGGTGGACGTGCTTTCCGGGGTGGCCTGCATTCTCGCCGTCACAGTCAGAACCACAGCCGTCCCATTTTCAGGCACCTCCAGCTCCATGGTGTGCATGACTCGCGGCTGTTCATGGCTACTGGCTGCAGCCTCCACACTCACCACACACCGTCTCCGTTTTGGCTGCGTTCTCCCTTCTAGCGCCGCTGCAAGTTGCCTGTCCTCCCATTGTTGGAAGGCTTCCGCCTGACCCTGCAAGTGAATCGCCTCATCTTCCGCCATCGCCTCATACGCTTCACATCGTTGACGTTCATCTTCTTCTTGCTGTTGCTTCGCGAGTTTCCACTGCCGTTCCTCTTCCTCATCCTTCAACAGCATATCCAGGTCATGCTCAGCTTCAGCGCCCTCTCCGTCCTTCTTGGAGTCCTGGGACTCCACTGAAACCGGAACTGTAGGTAGAGTGAAGCCCTCGATGCCACTCGCAATTTCCTCCACCCATTGCTGTAGCCATGCCTCGTCGGGCACCCCTTCCTCCTCAGCGCCGTCACAGTCCAAGGACATGGCCACGAGCAGAGCTTGGAACTGGGCCCAATTTTCGCCTTGAACTGCCTCCACATTTCCTGTACCCATTCGGAGCCGGCGAAGATGAAGCAGTCGGCGAGGCTTGGTCTGTCCAACCAGTTCTTTGTGGAGTCGCACCATCGCACGGGACCATCTCATTTCCGCCGTGTCCATCCCCTCAGACTTGGCAAACTGGTTCACCTGGGTCTGCATCAGAGCGGCCTCGTCGTTATTGTCATCCTTGTCCAGGTCACTGGAGTCCAGAGTCCCTTCCCTGGTTCTGGCGATCGCCTCCGCCACGGAGAGAACCTGAGAAAGTTCCGCCATGAGGTACCTCAGCAAGGTCACCAGCGCGACTGTGGACTGAATACGGTTCTCCTGACTCATGTGTTCGTGGACACTGCTGACATTGTGAAGTGTGTCGCGCGGCAAGAAGCTGTCAGGCACTTTGCCCGCCCCTGGGGGCGAGGGGGCAAAAGTGAACCGATCGAAAAGCAACCACCTCCAAAGCTGCACCGCTTCCGTGGATGACATTGGTCGGGTGCCATTTATCGGACTGACACACGGAGGGTTTAGGGTTTAGGGCTTAGAGTTTGAAGGTTTAGGGTTTAGGGCTTAGAGTTTGAGGCTTTAGGGTTTAGGGCTTAGAGTTTGAGGCTCTAGGGTTTAGGGCTTAGAGTTTGAGGGTTTAGGGTTTAGGGCTTAGAGTTTGAGGCTTTAGGGTTTAGGGCTTAGAGTTTGAGGCTCTAGGGTTTAGGGCTTAGAGTTTGAGGCTCTAGGGTTTAGGGCTTAGAGTTTGAGGCTTTTTAGGGCTTAGGGCTTAGAGTTTGAGGCTTTAGGGTTTAGGGCTTAGAGTTTGAGGCTCTAGGGTTTAGGGCTTAGAGTTTGAGGGTCTACGGTTTCGGGTTCTTTCGCAAAGTCCAGCGGTGCATTGGACAACCCTTTCTATGCCGAGGTGCTATCCGAATCGGAGGGGCAGTGTCCGATGGTGCATTGAACCTGACGCCAGGGCTGGGTCAGGTTTCGAGGTTTAGGGCTTCGGGTTAGCAAAAGGTTTGAGATTCAGCGTGACTTTCTTGGAGCCAACGCGTATGGTTCAGAACAGCGGCTTGGTGTTGAAAGTTGCAGGCTTTCAGGGAATGGAGGATATCCGGAGTTGACGACGTGGGAACTGAAGGTGGGAAACCTCAAATATCCCCAGGCACCCTTGAGACCTCCCCTGGGCCCGGCACATTAGCAACTTGCATAGCTGGGAGTGTTGTATATGTGTTCGGGGTTGGGGTTTCAGTATTCAGTGTTTCTTGTGGGCTGGCTGCTGATTTCAGCTGAAGGTGCCTGGTTCCAACCGCTACCACCGCCGCCACCGTTACCAGTTTGCACAGCACCTACAGGCATGAGTTCATAAATCCTTGAAGCACCTAGGGACTCGGAAGAATTGAACTCGAAACACTACCATTCTGAGCCGTGAACCTCTGGACGTCTGAAGCCCGAAAACATCCTGAAAACCAGACATCCGAGTCAAGCCCCAGAACCCGAACCTCAAGAGCAGTAAATAGACGCGGCAACCCAAATAAACCCAGCAAACCTAATGTAAACCCTGAAAGGGACCCCACACCCTAAACTCTTAAATGAAACCGAAAGCTAAAACTCCTAAACTCTAAACGTGAACCCGGCCTGACAATCCTCCAAAGTAAAGGCACCCGAGGACGACGGACGACAGCCGCCCTTAGCTGGCCCATCGCTACCTCGGCTCTCCAGAGAGATAGGTTTCGGGTTTAGGGTTTGTAACAGTATGCGCGTGGTGCGTGCGCTTCCTTAGGAATGGGGGCGCACCCACTTGTTGCGCTCTTGCGTCAGCATGTAGTCTCGCCCCAACCACCCTAACTAAGGGTGTGCTCTCTGCTTCCCTTCGCAGTTTAGATGGCCCGGCCCGGACAGCCCCAAGGTCGCCTTCTAGGACCTGTGGTTGTTTGGTGTACACCGGTGTGTCCCCGTATACCGGGAGGCTTTTCCCGGGCTGTCGGTGCTATGGTCCAAGAACCTGGACAGAATCTCCGACTCTATACGTTTTAGGGCTTGGCGCTTAGAGCTTCTGACGTTTTGGGGGCTCTGTTGGTTTAGGCCTGCGGGTCAGAGTATGGTTCACGTTGAGGAAGGCTGCTGCAGAACGGTGCTTGTGAGTTCGATCAGTTTTGCTATAGGTGATGGCTTTTTTAACTTTCATATGGCTTAAGCTTTTACTTCAGAACTTCATCTTGTCTGTTGGTTACTGTTCAGGTCATGGTTAAGGTATTTAAGACTTTCGGTGTAGGGTTTCCGATCAGAGCCGTCACAAAGGAACACAAGTAACAACAGAAAATGCAACACTAGCGCTGTTTCAATGGCAGCTCCAGTACTACCATCACTACTACAGCATCAGCATGTCCACAGATACTTCTTGTGTGGTCAACCGCAATACTGGCATTTAAATCCTGGACCCTGGACTCTAAAAGGAGAGTCAATCTGATGTTATACTATATTCTACTATACTATCTTGTAGTATTTTTTACATTGTTCTATACTCTATTCCATCGCCCATTATCGTGAATATTCTGCCATGCTATTGTATATTCAAGTCGATATATATTCAGTTGGCTCGACTCGCATCCTGCGAACTCTTTGTGGACCCCAAGCTCAGCCCTCCTCTAGTCATCTGAGCCGCAGTAGTAGCCGCCAGTAGGTCCTGTGTGCCACTCCGGGGGGCCTGGGTGACATTTAGGGTTTGGGAGTAAGGGTTCAGGGTTAAAAGTTCAGGGTTTAGGGCTTATGTACTTCCGAAATCCTGGAAACGAAACCTTGAACCCTACGAGTACTCCCTACATCGAGGGTAACAGCTCTCAAAGTGTGTGCACAGTCGCACCAGTGAACACGCTGTAGGCTGCAAGCGAATTGCTAAGACGCTTCCGTCATCTGCTCGTGCAGAGCATCCTCCAATCTCGCGTTCATGCATGAAGCTGTCGGGGGATGCTTGCTAAAACAAACCAGTGGGAGCATGTTGCGGGGTTGACTCATCACGGTCGTCATCATCATCGTCATACGCGTCATCATCCTTGCCGTCGTCGCCGTCGCGGTTCACAGCGTCAATATCAGCTCTTCGTCTTCACGTCCAACAGAAATTACGAACGCAGACAAGAACGCTCAACTTCACGTAGAATCGCAGAGCGACTTACAAAACAGAAGCTGCACCCAACCCTAAACTCAATACCCGTGAGCCTACACGCCAGAGCGCATCAAACCACCCAGAGCATTTCCAGGGCTCCCAAGATGCCGAGACTAATAGAAACAAACCAAATAACGATGTACGGACCTTAAGTATGACGTGCGGTTTGTTCGCCTCCCCCAGAGAAGCGGTCCCAACCGACGCCAGCCCAGAGAGCCGTACTGACAATCATCACACAAGCCAGTCAAGACAGACAGAATCAGGCCCGAGAATAAGAAACCTACCCTAAACCCCCATGTCAACTGAAAAAGGAGGGCACCAGCATAAGGAGCCGGCAACTTGTGCCAACATGATCTTCGCACTCTTCGACGCCAGAAGAATGCCCCTAAGAAAAGAGGAAGGCTTTCATGGGGGCCAACCTAGACCCTAAAGCCTCAAATCGAACTACAATCCTTCACTACTTCAAAACCAACGTTCTAGTTTTCCTATATCAGATACTGTTGATAACAATAGTATTCGTATTTCGTATTAGACTCGAAAGGCAAGTTCGGAATTCGGTGTTGTTACACGCTTCAGACGACCAACATGTCTTGCAACTGTGCATCGGGCTTTTGAACTTCGAGAGTTTAGGGTTTGGGGCTTAGGGTTCAGGGTTAGATGCAAGTTCAGGTTTGAGGAGTGCTTTGGCGCGTAGGGCTTAAGAAGCGAGGATCAGGACTCGCGCTTCGGGACCGACTGAACGCAGCAAGGTCTAAGTCCCTCAGAAGTAAGAAGGCAAAGGCCTTCTCGCACACAATGGATGCGACAGGGCTGTTCTCCTTGGATATGCAGGTTTAGGGCTTATGGTTCTTATGTTTGGGCTTTAGGGTTCAGTATTTCGGGCCTCTACGTTCAGACCCTAAAAGCAGAATAGGGTCTTGGGGGTACATCACACTTCGACTATAGCTTTGTCGGGACTCGGGACTCGAACGTGATATTGTGACTCATTATCTGTTTGTACTTTGGGTTGGGTTTAGCTAATCACCTCTGCGTCCGGCGTACAGTCACTCATAAGTACTTACAGAAAACTTTCCTCCTTCATGTAACAATGCGACAAAATACCTCCAAAGCCTATCCCAATTACTAAGGCCCCTATATTATCCTTTTCCGGGCAAGCTTCACAACACCACTGCTGCTTCATAGGGCTCCACTTGCCCACATATTCCAGGTCCTCATAGCAGTCGAAAGGGACCTCAGTGGCTGATTTTTGGCATGCAAGCTCTTCTCTGACCAGGGGTTTAGGGTTTAGGATACCTTATTCACTGGGTTTTGGCATCCCTGATGCAAGGACAGCAATGCTCTATGTACCAACAGCAGCCATGTATAAGGCAAGTCGGCCAGGAACGTATGTCTGTGAAGGGAGGGAACACCGCAAAGGTCGTATGTGCAAAGTCCTCTGCTAGAGTGTAGCAGTGGTTTCCTGCCTTCTGTGGGGGCCTGAATTAGAACAGGGTTTTGGGGCCCATTATACCCCTCAGAATAGGGTGGGTAATTATATAGGCTCCTATAGTAACACTGAGCTTAGGGTTCACGGTTTCGGCGATCCCCAGGGCAGTGCTGAAAATGACGGGAGGCCTGGTTGGCAACTCGTTGAGCAAGTTTAAACTTGTGAAAGTTGAAAACTTATTGGTTTAATTAAAAATGTAGAAGTCTAATTACTGTACACTCCAATTAAAACTTCCAAAATACTTAGCATTTACATCGTTTAAATATTTTAAAACAAGGGTATTTAAACTATTTACACAATTTAAACTGTCTAAATTGTGTAAATTATTTGAATAGTCCTGGAAAGGTCTTATTAAGGGAATCAAGTCAGTATTCAAATTGTTTGAACTATTTGTGTTATTTCCTTTCCAAAATGTGTCAAATAGTGAAATATAACATAATATGTGTATATACAGAGATATAGTAGTATATACTATGTGATATAAAATGTATTATACAAATATGTATGTATATATATATATATATCATGGAACCGGGAGGGTCTCTGGGATAAGAAGACAAGAAGCGGCGAACAACAAACAGAAGGAGAAGCGCCAGTAACAATATCACGCTCCACACTATCCTCATCGCAATGGCCACTAGTGCCACCACCCTACAACCGCTCCATCAGTGCAACTACCACGATACAGCAATCACAAAAATGACGATGACACGAGCAGACCCTCTCAGCCAAGTCTCTGCCAGATCCCCACCGCCTGAAGCCAAACATCTTAGGGCGGCTTCAGGTTTAGGGCTTAGAGTAGGTAGCCTTCAAGGAACCCTTGTAGGAACCCTTTAAGACTAAAGCCCTCCACTCCACTTCCTCCAAGGCCTTCAAGATCAACTTTTCAAAACGAGCGAGCTTGGGGTTTAGGGCTGTAGGGCTTGGGAGTTTAGGGTCCAGGGAGCTCCAGACAGTTGCATTGCGTGACATCCCACAGACCCAAGAGCTTTCAGCACATGCTCTTGGTGCTGCCGGCTAAAGCCTATAAACCCCATACACCCTATGCACCCTGCAAACACCATAAACCCTAAACCCACCCTTAAAAGCTTAAATCCCTTACAGAACGCACGGTGAGGAGGGCCCTTCCCATCCGAAGATGCCTGACCGCCTAACCGCACGCCTTAGCCCGACAGCCCAAACCAAGGGCCCCAAAGAAGCCATGAAAAATTCCCCAAAAACGTTTAGGGTTTAGGGCTTAGGGTGGGCCGGGTAATTCGGAAATCGACTTCTTAGGGTGCCTACAGATTTTCTTCTAGGCTAGACCCCCCAAAGACCGTATCAATTACACGCCAAATTCGAGCGAACCAACCCAGCTCACCCGCAAAGGGGAGCCGGTCCTGGAACTTCGACCTCACCGATGTAACATTGATCCTGCAGGGTTTAGGGTTTAGGGTTGTTCAGATGCAGTGGCACTTTCTCCGAAGGTCCCGCGCCTGTCTCTAAGAGACATACACCGAAAAATGTGACTTCGCACAACACAAGCATGAGCCATGCCAAACCTTCTCGGTCCGGCAAATCACACCTTCGATCTACAAGGTACTTACGACCGATCAGTTCTGGACGGCATATGACGACTCTACCTCTCAGCATTCAGTTATATAGGGTTTAGGGTTTAAGAATGCAGGAAAAGGTGTGGTAGGGCAGAAAAGGCCTAAGGACGCCTGATGATCTCCAAACAGGTAACAAACTGCCGAATATGGATACTGAGAACATTACCACCTAGGTAATCCCAACAGGAAGGGGAAGATAGATGTATAAGCAACCATCGCGATACTGGTACAGCTGTGCACCTGAGAACCATAAGCTTAAAAGAGGAAGGCAAAAGCATCAGCGTCGAGACTGTCGAAAGCATTGATGACAATAGAACTGATTGAAGCCACGACGCTGCGAGCAATAACAAGCCTTACCGAAGCCCACTTACACCAAGCTCCCTGGAACCCCACACAGTCAGACTCCGTCGTGGCAAGCTGAAGGATCATCGCGAATGTCGCGATGGATTCCAAAAAGGAGGTACGACCCGGAGATGCTCCGCTGTTGCTAAACGTGTTTTAGTACTCGCGCAATACTACCGCTGATGGACAAAATCCTGCATGACCCTAAGGACTCTAAACTATGAGAATTATGGTATATTCCTTATTATGGGTAATGCAGGATTTTGTCATCAACAGTACTAACTACCAATTGCCAAGGCTCTTGGGATTCTCCAAATGACACCCCCAAATACAAACTCAGCACTTTTCCGAACAAGCCATGCGTACACTCACCAAAACCCTTCCATAAACCCTACTTCATGTAACACTTTTAATTGAACCTAACCCGGAATCAGCATATAAACCCACACTTCAAACATTCTGGAAGCCTTACACCCCGAACCCCCTAAACCCTAAACCCTAAACCCTGAACCAATCAAACTGACTGCAGGGTCCTGGCAATCTTCGAGGGGGAAGGGCCCATCCACGACCGGCCGGCAGCCCTGTGTCTCGTAGCCTTGGGCGCCGGTCCCACTATCCTTTAATTAAGGAAAATACCTTAGACCATAAGAATTAATTAGGCCTCTATAATTTAAGGCTTATTGTCACCGCTTAGGTTTAGGGCTTAAGGTCTGGGGTGATGCGTCATCAGGCTCACTAGGCTTTGGGGTTTGAGTGTCACTATAAGGAGTTACTACTACTACTACTACTACTACTACTACTACTACTACTACTACTACTACTACTACTACTACTACTACTACTACTACTACTACTAGTACTACCCCTACCCCCAAAGCCGAACCGAAGGAATCAAGAAGAAGCCGAAGACTTCCAAGGCGCAGTAATAGCCGCCTGCACCGGTCTGCCACTCCACTGGGCCTTAATGGGGGCTCAGAGTTTAGGGCTTTTTTTAAAAGGGCTCCTTGTCGGCTTAGGGGTTCGGAGTCAGGGCTTAGGGATTGGGAGTTAGGGTTTAGAGATTAGGATGTAAGCTTTCGGGTTGCTAGGGGTTTAGGGATTAGGATTTAGGGTTTGGGTTAGAGGGTCTTGGTTTAGGAGGTAGGGTTTAGCGCTTAGGCTATAGCATGAGAGATCATGGGCTTTTTCACGACCGCCATGCACCACCGATACTTCGATGGTACAGGAGAGGAAAACTTATGTGCTTCAGGGTTTAGGCTTCGCGCTTTGGGGTTTACTTGGAAGGGCAGGGGACTTAGTAAGTAGCTTATAAGTAGGGTTATAATTGGGGTAACTCCATTTAGGTATAACTCTACTTATAACCTACTTACTAAGTCCCCTGCCCTTCCAAGTAGGCTGTAGGATGGAGGATACTAGGTTGGGGGGCCCTGCAGGTCTGTACAGTAAAAGCCAGAAAGTTGGAATATGATTATCCTAAACCCTTTATGGTAAATGATAAGGTATCCTACCCTGAAACCATATTCCAACTTTCTGGAGTTCCCTTTAAGGGGTACTATAAGGGCTTCTGTAAGGACTTCTATCCATTCGTGATTCAGCACAGTGGGTGCAGGGTTCAAGGCTCCATGTTCGGGCTTAGGGTTAGGACTTCAAGGGTTGCGGCCCAAGGTTTGGGAGTTAGGCTTTAGGGCAGGAAAGGCAAGAACACTCAGCAAGCCGAGAAAGAATCGACTCGTAAAAGCATCATCAACACCAAGCACCATACTGGCACATGCTCAGGATTTAATGATCATAAGCGAAAATTTGGAAGTTCGCACCCCAAATCCTGAACCATAAACCCTAAGCCTAAGCCCACCAAGCCCCCGAACCTGATTAACCACCTAGGGAGAAACTCGTAAACCCTCGTGTCCCCCGAGAAAACACCTATGTTTATCAAACTGACAGAACTACAACCCACGTAGCAGCTCTTATAGCACTCTTCAAGGAACCCTAAACCCTGCAAAAGACATCCTGCTTTCAGGGTCGCCATCGACGCAGAACTGTGTCTCTGGCAGCTATCGCAGATCAAGAGTGTGTAGATCAGCAAGGGGGAAAAGAGTAGAGGCCCGATTCAGCAGCGTTCGTCCCTGCCATCTTAGAAGCCTCTGCTCTGCGCTCCGATCTTTCTGCGAAGGCCAGGGCCACCTATCCTTATCACTTGCATGGTAGCGGAGCCTCGTCAGGGACGAGGTATCCGAGACTACCTTGCCGAGCCAACGATCCAGGGAAACGAGAAGTGAGCCTGCAGACGTTCGCCTCTGCAGGATGTCAAGTGATGCGGAAAGCCGCAACAAGGATGGAGTCCCGCGATGGAGCGGGGAGCCTTCAGCCTTCCAGCAGTATGAAGAAGAATGTCTTCTTTGGGTGGAGACGCAGCCGTACTACAAGAGACATATGTGCGTTCCCAAGTTAAAGGCGGAGCTCACGGGTCCCGCCAAGAGGCTCATCCTGGGTCAGGACCCAGGATGGGGAGCCCACGCGAATGGGGTGCAGGAGTTGATGAGCTTCTTGCGCCAACGACTGGGGCGCCCCCAGTTACCGGAACTCTCCGACCTCCTTTTGAAGTACTTCCGTGGAACCAAGAGAAGAGCTCAAGAGTCAGTCAATGACTACGTGACTCGCAAGTGTGAGGCCTATGTGAGGGCTCAGCAGTCGCTACGACGGGTACTACTTGATCGCAATGAGACCCCGCAGAGGCACCAGACGGGTGGCTACTCGAGTGGCTATGTGTGGGGACCCTCAGGGCGGCGAAGCAGCTGGGACTCTCAGGCGTCCACTGGAGCGAGTGACGGGCGAGGAAGCGCTACAGCGGAGGAGAACAACGACGAGGAGAGCCAGGCAGCAGCCCCAACGACGGCAGATGCAGAGCGGACCAATGAGAACTGGTGGCACACCCAGTGGAACTGGAGCTCAGACAGCTGGTGGCAGAGTGGATGGGGATCCACCTGGTGGGAGCCATCCGGTGGACCAACGCGGTCCCCGACAGGGCCTCCGACTGGCAACCAGAGCTCGGGTGTCCCAGGGAGCGCGGAGCTCCTGCCACCGTTTCTGCAAGGTTGGTTCTTACTGCAGGACTCCGGCCTGGACATTCATGAGCGGAACAGCATCCAAACAGCTCTCCGAGGAGACTATGATCTTCAGAAGGTGGCCGCTGAGATGAGGGCTCAGTGGCCTGAGACTGAACTACAACGACGTGACCGCCAAGGGCGACAGAGCAGCTACCTTGGAGAGTTGCTGGAGGATATCCCAGAGGATGAGACCGAGTTCGAGTGCAACCTCGCGGATCTACAAGACTCCGGAATGACGGAGGAAGGACTCGTGCTCATGGATGAGGCCGAGATCTCGGCGCAGGAGGCAATGGCGGCCATCCAACAGGGTCGCAGAACCTTGCGGGAAGCACGGGCCAAGCAGAACGAAGTCCGCCTCTCCAGGAAATACTATCGTCCTGGAGGCACGTGGGCAAGCAATCGGCAGCAGAAGGGGGGCAAAGGCCAGACGGGCCGAGGTGGACGGGATGACTCAGAGATTACTTGTTTCAAGTGTGGGAAAAAGGGTCATCGCACAGCCACGTGCCCAGATCGCGAGGCACAGCAGAGCCACCAGGCGTCTCCCGAGGAAGCGCCTTTCGTCTGTTTTGCCACCGCCCCGGACTCCATGGAGCAGGCCTTCGGCACCGGGGTCAGCACCTCGGAAGCAATCCTGCAAGGAAAGGCCGTGATAGACGGAGGAGCAACCAAGACGATCGGAAGCGTGACGGCCTTGGAGGCCCTCATGCGTCAGAACAAGATGCGCACCGGCTCCGACGGCATCCTTCACGTGGACACCTCTGATGCTCCGGTTTTCTCATTTGGGAATTCGAGCACCAACCAATGTCTCAGCACCGCACAGGTGCGGCTCGTCGCTGCCGGCCAAGCTGGCCAGCTGAAGGTGCACACTCTTGATGTGGGCCAAGGCCCAGTTTTGTTTTCGATAGAGTCATTGCGCAATTTAGGCGCAATCATAGACTACGAGCATGATTTGGTAGTCTTTAGGAAACTTGATCCTGAAAGGGCCATAGAGCTAGAGAGATCGGCATTGGGACATCAGTTGCTGCCGCTAGCCGACGACTTGTACAAGAATTCCGTGCCATTGCGGGCACCTCTAGCAAGCCTGAAGGAACAGGCGAGGGCCTCTGAGTAGGGACAGCTCCTTCTGACCCGCGAAACGCCTGCGCGCGAGCAGAAGGTGACCGAGTGTCAAAGAGCAGGTGAGGGTTTTATTTCAGATGTACACCAGAAGCTCCCCGGGGATTGTGAGTCTTCTAGTGTGCATGTGAGTGATTGTGAGATGTTTCCACTTCCTGAGAAGCAGTTGTCAGAACCTATCGTGAGTGACAGCAGCCGGTTCCACGCCAAGTCGCCCCCGAACGTGAGATCACATCTTCGAGACGATGCCCAGTGTGTCCAAGATGAACAAGACGGAGCTGGTGGCAGCGATCAAGGAGCGGGGCGGCCACGCAGAGTACACCACTCGCCGTCTCGAGCTTCAGCAACAACTCCAGTCCTTAATGACAGAGGCGGGAGAGAGCACCGTGAAGGTGATGACCGACTACCAGTGCCTGACCATCGACCTCAACAAGGCCAACAGCAAGGCCTTGATGAAGGAGCACCTCAAGAGTCTGGGGGTCAATGCTTCCGAGAATGCGACCATGCTGCAGATGCGCAACATGGCCATGGACAAGATCTACGACCTTGCCGTTGCCGACGGCACCGACCCCATCGGGTTTGGCAAGCATGGGTCCCGGAGCTACCAGGAGATCCTTCTGGAGGAGAAGGGCTACGTGGAGTGGGTCATCACCACGTCTCGCGAGGGACAAGCCAATCCGCGCCTACACCGGTTGGCGCAATGGCTGGCCTTGAATGTGGACAAGAAGGTCACGACGAGTCCGGAGTCGCCGTGGAAGAAGATCGGGGCCAGCAAGAAAGTCGAGACCTCGCCGACCGCGAAGAGCGCCAGTTCCGTGTCCAGCGAGGGGACCAACGAAGTGCTGAAGGAGATGATGTCAGCGCTGCGGGAGCTCAAGAGCGAGGTGGCCGAGCTACAGGGCGAGAGACGCGGGGCACGCCCGCGCAAGGAGAATCACCAGGACGACGACATGGAGTCAACGGGCAGCTTCATGAAGATCCAGAAGTGAGCGTGGAAGCAACAACGGGGCCGTTTCCTACACCATCAACGGGTAGCAGCCTTAGTGAACTGAGTCATATGGCGGCTCAGACCTTAGAGGACAAGGCCTGGAACCTAGTGCCAGGGTTTTTCCAAGCTTTGGTGAGTCAAGGGAAGACCTTGTTGACGGAAGTGGGCGGTGGCCCCGACAGTCGAATCGCCACTGCTGTGCAGGAGACAGCAGGCTATGAATCCGCAGCCTCCCGATGTGCCTTGTGGAATTCATGTGATCTGAGTACCAAGGAGGGACTTAGTCTGACGTTGTCTAGGATCGACCTCGAGGACCCCATGGTAGTGTGGATATCGCCCCCTGATGGTCCCTACAGCCCCATACAGAACCTTAATGCGAGAAGTCATTCCCAACAGGATGAACTGGCACAAAAGAGGCTGGAGGCCCGCAGGATGTACACAGGATGTTGCGTAGTGTATCAGTACTGTGTGCAGAAGGGGATCCACGTTGCTTGGGAAATGAGTGACAGGTCTTTGGCTTGGAGGTTACCCATAGTTCAGAGGTTGAAGCAGAAATATGCATTGTATGAGGCGGTGACTAAGGGATGCACGGTGAACTTGCGGAGCAGAGCGCATGGGCCACTGCTCCAAAAGGGATGGCGTGTGCTGACGACGCACCGCAAGCTGTCGCAACTTTTGGACCTCCCCTGTAGGTGCCCTAAGTCGTATGTCCATGGCTCATGTACCGGTGTGAAAGCTAACGATAGTGGGCGATACACTACGGAGTATGCGAAGAGAGTAGCGAAGTGTGTTGTGATGGAGCTCGACCACACGGGCATTGTTCAGGAGAGCCAGGGCACAACTCAGTTGCCCGAGCTTTTCGGCGCGGGCAGCGCCTGTTTCTGCAAGGACCTTCAGATTCCGAATCTGCCGGAACAGAAGTGCACCCACTGCTGGGAACGCGGGTGTTGGGCTGAGGCTTCCAGGGTTGAAGAAAGTAGCCTAGAGGATTCAGGGATGCAAGGCAACGCCCAGGCTGTGAACCCCAGGCAAATGAGTTCGGCCCCTACGGTAACCCAGCAGGTGGAGGCAGGGTGTCACTTAGGTACCATAGAGACGGAAGACATAGCGGCCCGGTTGCTTTCCCGAAATAAATATGATTACAAGAGCTGCGAAGAACTCCTGGAACAGATGTCCTTGAAAAGCCCCCATAAAGCCCGCAACATGTTGCAGGACGCGCAAGCTGAGTATCTGACGCTAGGAGTGTACAGTCATGGAGGGTTTTACGGAGAAACTCTTGCGTCCCAGAGGATGCCCCAGTTGACTAAGTACCTCAACCAGTTCGGCAAACAGCACCTTCCGAAAGGTGCACAGTGGACTTCGATCACCATAAGTCGCGACAACAAACTTCCGGTGCACCGTGACACCAACAACGAGAAGGGAAGCCAAAGCTACCTGATAGGTTTAGGCCAGTACTCCCAAGGAGAGCTATGGGTACACCAACCCGAGCTCTCCGAACAAGCGCACAACGCCATGACTCAGGTACAGGAAGATGGAACGAAGTTGGTCGGAGTGGCCAAAGCCACGCGACACCGGGTGGTCGAGTTCACCCCGCAGGACTGGCATGCCACATGCCCTTGGAACGGAAGTAGGACTGTTGTGACGTTCTATGTGAGTCGGGGTTGGGGTTCGCTTTCAGAGGTTGAGTGGCAAGGCCTGCAGGCGCGAGGATTCGTGGAACCCGATAGTTCACAAGCGCAAGCACATGTGGCACAACAGAAGGGGCCATGGAAACCAAAGTTCCCACGTAAGAAAGATGAAGAGGCGGAACGCATCAAAAAGTACTTGTACCTTTTGCATTCTGCCACGGGACATGGTAGCATGCGGCACTTGTACCAAGCCTTGAAGCGTAGGAATGCGAGTGCGCAGGTTCTTGAATTAGCCAAAACCTTCACGTGCCCCATATGCGATGAAAAGCGGAGAGTGCCTCCCAACCGGGTGGCGTCATTAGAGCCCTTACCACCCAAGTGGGCAACCATCTCAGCCGATGTAGGCCATTGGAAGAATCCCCACACAGGGGAGCATGCGGCCTTCATGGTGATCATTGATGAGGGATCTAGGTATAGGGCGGCGAGGTTTTTGTGCAAAGGTTTGAAGAAGACCCCGTCAGCGGTGGAGTGCATTCAGTACCTTCGGGAAGGTTGGACCCAGTACTTCGGAAACCCCCAGTGTCTTAGAGTGGACCCAGCGGGAGCCTTCAGAAGCCAAGCCCTCACTGAGTACTGCGATCGCAATAGCATCTTCTTAGATGTGATTCCCGGCGAGGCCCACTGGCAGATAGGTGCATGTGAACAAGCTGTGCAAGGCCTCAAAGAAGTCATGACTAAGCTCAGTCAAGAGAATCCCGAGGTGACTAGTGAGGAGTTGTTGTCTACGGCCGTGCGAACATTCAACCAAAGGGACCTGGTGAGAGGATTTTCTCCCTTGCAACATGCTTTTGGTAGGAGTGTTGATGTTACGGGAAGATTGGCGGATGCTGCGAGCGGTCTTCCTGATGAGGTTCAGATTGAGAACGCTGAGGGCGAGTTTCAACGGAACGTAGAACGACAGGCTCAAGCCGAGCAAGCGCATAGCGAATGGCAAGCGAAACAAAGGATCCTGCGTGCCCAGAACTCTCGCGGAAGGCGAGTGGAAGTGTTCCAACCGGGACAGTTGGTGTATTTCTGGCGATGCCAGGAAAGCGGCCAACACCGGAACTCTCCCAACAGCAAAAAGGGAAGGTTCTTAGGGCCCGCACGCATTTTAGCCATGGAAACCAGGACCGATGAAACTGGAGCCAGAAGACCAGGGTCCTCAGTTTGGCTTGTGAGGGGCAGGCAGCTGCTCAAGTGCGCACCAGAGCAGCTCAGGCTTGCGTCGGCACGTGAAGAGTTGATTGAAGCTTTAACGGAGGACAATCGCACTCCCTGGACCTACACCAAGGTGGCCAAGGAGATCGGGAACAATCAATATGAAGACCTTTCACATCAACAGCCCGATGAGCGAGAGTGGCAGCGAGCCCAGGACCCCTTGCAAGAGGAGCAGCCCACACGGAGGCGGATTTCAGGGAAGCGCGCAGCTCCAGAACGCGCAAACCAGGATCAGGACATGGAGGAGCAGCCGGACGCAGCCCCTTCAGCGCCACAGCGACCTCGAACCGTAGAGCCCAATACAGAAGGCGACATTGGAGCATGTTGGTGGGCATCCATCGAAGACGAGAGCTGGGGATCAGCCACTGAGTGGTGGAAGGATCGAGATGCAGCTGTGGAGGTTCAAGTGGAGATGCCAAGCTCCAACAGAGGCTGGAAGCGCGCAATGAGCGGGATGAGCAGCTACTTTGTGGGTGCCATGAAGAAGCGAGCCGTGGAGGTTTGTGAACGTAAGCTTTCAGCGGAAGAGAGGCAGCAGTTTGATGCTGCCAAGATGGTTGAAGTCAAGAATTTCCTGGCTGCTGAAGCATTCGAATCACTACCAGACCACTTGAAACCCTCCAAGGAGGCCGCGATTGGTATGAGGTGGATCCTTACATGGAAACAACTGGAAGGAGGAGGCCGTAAGGCCAAGGCCCGGGCGGTTCTGCTGGGCTATCAAGACCCGGCATATGAACATAGAAGCACCACTTCACCGGTTATGTCGCGACAATCCAGACAGTGTTTCTTGCAAATGGCCGCTAACAAACGATGGAAAGTTTATAAAGGCGACGTTTCAGGAGCATTCTTGCAGGGCCGTGCGTATCCATCAGATCTGTATTGTATCCCCTGCGACGAGATTTGCCGAGCTATGAACATTCCATTGGGAAGTACCACAAAACTGAAGAAAGCTTGTTACGGCCTGGTGGACGCGCCACTGGAGTGGTACAAGACAGTGGCAGATTGCATGCACAGCCTAGGCTTGGAAAGATCCTGGTCAGATCCATGCTTGTGGATGTGGCGACCCCAAGGAGTCCTCAGAGGACTTGTTTCGGGACATGTCGATGACTTCCTGTTCGGAGGAAGCGATCAAGACGCGGAGTGGCAAAAGATTCTGGCAAGTATCCGTGAGCGATTTAAGTGGGGAGATTGGGAACACGGTGAGTTCACGCAGTGCGGGGTTCAGGTGAAACAGGTTGCCGAAGGGTTTGAGATGAGCCAGGTGTCTTATGTCGAAGATCACATTCATGAGATCCCGCTGAACAGTAGTCGACGGAAGCAACGACACTCTCCAACCACTGACAGAGAGAAAACCCAACTTCGTGCCACCTTGGGAGCCTTGAGCTGGCACTCCCAACAGGTTGCTCCCCACACTGCCGCCGAAACTAGCCTCCTGCTGTCCGAAGTGACCCAGAGCACCGTAGAAACCATCGTGAAAACCAATTTGCTGGTAGCGCACACGAGGGCTAAGAAGGATCATGTGATGCACATCCGCGCCTTCTCTCCTGAGGAAGACCTGTGCCTGTATGCATGGGTGGATGCTGGAAGTCAGAACCGGCCCGATGGGGGCAGCACACAAAGGGTGTTCATAGGCATGAGTTCCATGTCCCTTCAAAGAGGTGAAATGAATTATGTGAGCCCAATGACTTGGCATAGCCATAAGATCGACAGAGCCTGCCGCAGTCCAGGATCCGCCGAGACCCAAGCAGCAGTGAACGGTGAAGACGCCTTGTACTACTTAAGGTTCCAGTGGTCAGAAATGACCTATGGAAGCATAGATGTCAAGGACCCAGATGCCTGTGTCCGAAGAATCCCAGGGTGCCTCATCTCAGACTCCAGGAATGTCTTCGATAAAGTCACGACTGAGGTGTTGACGATTAAGGGAGACGAGAAGCGATCAAACATTAAGCTCATCGCCATTAAGGCTTCGCAGCAGAGGACAGGGTTGATAGTGAGATGGGTTCATAGTGAGGCTCAGCTGGCAAACTCGTTGACTAAGGCTGGGGGCACTAAGGAATTGGAGCTCTACTACAAGATGGGGCACCAATGGAGAATCGTAGAAGATCCCGAGATGAAATCCGCTCGCAAGCGACGTCAAAGTGGACTAAATCCTCTGGAGCAAGCGGAGGTGATGACACATTCAAAGGAAGTGGAAAGTAACAGTTTGTAACTCACAATCCGGGGGAGCGAGCGGGGCGGATGCAAAAGACATCCTGCTTTCAGGTCGCCATCGACGCAGAACTGTGTCTCTGGCAGCTATCGCAGATCAAGAGTGTGTAGATCAGCAAGGGGGAGAAGAGTAGAGGCCCGATTCAGCAGCGTTCGTCCCTGCCATCTTAGAAGCCTCTGCTCTGCGCTCCGATCTTTCTGCGAAGGCCAGGGCCACCTATCCTTATCACTTGCAAACCCTAACCCTAATAGAATCCTGATGGACCCCTGAAAGTTCTTCAAGGAGCCCTTTGAAGGGACCCTTAGCTTTCCTTAAAAGCTCCGAGCTCCGCGCAACCTGTGCTCAAGCCGCCTTCACAGGCTTGCAAGAGCCCTCCTTCCGGGGCGTCCTTGGCTTGGGCTCCATCTTAGGTTTGGGTAAAGGGTGAGGGCATAGGGTTTAGGGTTTTGGCTTTGGCTTGCAAAAACCGCACCGAAACCGGGTAGGCTAGAAGTCTAGGAGGGTGAGGAGGAAGAAGTCTGCCATCTCCGGGGGCTTTAGGATTTGGAGCTTTGGGCTCAGGGGGTTTAGGGTTCAGGAGCACTAGGGTTTAGGGTTTAGGATTTAGGGTAGTAGGGTTTAGAGTCTAGGGGTTTGGGGGGTTGTCATGAAGGGCTGCGCGGTTTGTCTCGGTTTAGAGCTTGGGGCGTTTCAGGTTTAGAGCCAGGACGCAGGGTTGGAGGGATGAGATGTGCTTGGCGGCAGTCTACTTGAGGTAGTCGCAGCAGTAGAACAATTCAACACTCACCTGCCCTAGCCGAAAACTCGCAACAGCCCCACAAGAACATGACCGCCAACTGGCAAGAGCTGGCAACTCCAAACTCGGAAGGAAAAGAAGTGTAAATACCAGGCTTCAGCCACTGTCTAACAAAAAGAAGCTTGCATGGCAAGTGCCGCTGGTTTCTTGTCTGCTTCTTCCTAGAGGATTTTCCTACCGCTGTAAGTAGGCACACGGAATGTCGAAAGACTTCAGTATTGAAATCTTGGGGAAGCAAAGTCTGTTGGGCTTTTGGCTTTGCATCTTTTCTGAGACTTGGCACGTACAGCGAGACGTAGACTTGAGGGCCTAGCGCAGCTTAGGACGTCGGGGCGTGGCTTCGGGGTGCTCCATCCCAGTGTTGGTGCTGACGATCACATTCCTGAAGGCTGCTGCGGGCTTGCGCATGAAGCTGTTGGACTTAATGCGGTGCAGGGGCCTTACTATTTACCGAGACTATGTTGGGGGGTTCTTATTATAAATGTAATATCATGGGCCCCAAAACCCTATGCTAACTATTCGGGCCCTTTGGTGGTGGGGTTTCTTGTGCAGGCATCGTGTGATTGGGTCGATGTTTCAAAGACCGTGTGGGAGTTTCCGAAAAGATCCAAATTTAGTACCCTAAATAGCAGGATCCTTGTTATAAAGTTTCGGACACTCCCGTATGCTGCGGCAGACAAATGTACGGGCCTTCGTAATTAGAGTAGGGTTTTGGGCTTCTTCATGATATGGTCATCATGGTTGTTATAATAAGGAACCCTAAGGAAGAACATAGGTTATTATCTAGGCTTCTACATTATCATTACCACGCACACCCACAGGCCAAACAGATCGGCAAGCGGCAGATTCTTGCGTAGAGGCCTGCTCCTGCGCAGAGCAAGCTTGTCATGTCTACGACAGAAGCCACGTGAACCACACATGTAATGACATACGGAGAGCATAGACAGTCATGAGTCAGAATAGAGCCGGAACTTGCAACACCATTTGTATCAGCGAAGAGCAAACAGCGGAAGCATGAGTCGTCTTTTTGCCAAATTCACAACATGGATGCTAGCAGCTCCCGTGCACACCTCGTGCCGTGAGATCTGCATGATCTGAACGTGATCTGCGCACATAGCCCATCCCAATAATACTAAACACACAAGGCCTCCGATGTTGTCGATGGGGGCTCAGTGCTGGCCTCCCACAGGGATAGCTTGAAGGGAAAAAAGGGTTAGGGAGGCTGGGTTTGGCTTCACACCCACTGAACACGAGGCTCTGTTGGGTTTGGGGTCGGTGGTTCCGTGCTCGACTACCGGCTATGCATACTGCAGATTCACCCACCTGCCTTAGGAGCTCAAGAGGTTAGGGGACTTTGGTTTTTTGTTGGTACTGCCATCCGAAACTACGAACCCCTAAAACCCAACTTGCGGGTGCCTGCGTTGTGGTCGGTTCCACGGTTGTCACTGAAGTTTCGGCGCTCGCCTCGGCAGCAGCACGCAGGATGTTGAGTGCTGAGGTTGAGAGCCAAAGAAGTCGAGTAGCACAACAATACTTCCTCATCCCAAACCCTGAACCCTCAACCACAAACAGTGCCAGTGAAAAACCGCTGCCTCCTCAACTTGAGTCTGGTCGGAAAGCTCCACCCTACAACGGTCCCACAAAGGTGCCAGGACCAGTCCACAAATGCTCGAAAATCCTCGAAGCAGGCCGTCCGAACAGACTGCAACTGAGATTAAAAATTTTTAAAGAACAACTACAGACTGCAACTGAGCTTCCGTGGTCTCCTCCGTGGTTGCAGTCGGAGCGGTGGTGGTACCACTTGTTTGCTCGGTCGCTGGGGCCTGTCAGGTCTGGAGTCTTGAGTCCGGGGTCTGCTTCAGGGTTCAGGGTTTAGGGTTTAGGGTTTAGGCTTTAGGGTTCAGGCTTTAGGGTTTAGGGTTTAGGCTTTAGGGTTTGGGGTTTAGGCTTTAGGGTTTAGGTTTAGGGTTTAGGCTTTAGGGTTTAGGGTTTAGGCTTTAGGGTTTAGGGTTTAGGGTTTAGGGCATGGCTTAGAGTTTAGGGTTAAGGGTTCAAGATCTCGGCGTTTTCTGCAGCATCGCACGCGCTCACTAGCCCAGACCCTACCACCCCATGAAAGATAATGAAACCCTATACTATAAAACCTTGAAATCCCCAGACCCCGAACCACAGAAACTATAAACATGGGAGCTGAGCTTCCGTGGTCCCTTCGGTCGTTGCCGTCGGTGCGGTCGTTGCGCCCTGGGCTTGCTGTCTTCCCGCTCAAGGTTCATGCAAAGTCGGAACTCTCTCCATCAGGGGATATTTCTGGTGTTTACGGCGGAGGTGTTCTCAGTAAATAAGAGGATGCGTCCGCGATGTGATTGCTTCGGGAGCAGCTGGGGAGAGCTTGAGGAGTGGGTTGGGAGTTATGTAGTTGGGAGCAGCTGGGGAGTGGGTTGGGGGCTTGGGTTTTCGAAGCCGATCCGGATTCTTAAGGAAGCCCGAACCACCCTCCCGAAGACGACCCGACTACTCAGAGAAATCCTAGCCATCCTCCCGAAGACGACCCCGCTACTTGCCCAAAAAGAATTCGGACTTGCATCCGGAAGAAGGCCCAGTTTTACAGAGCGAATTTGGCTTGAGGTGTGTCTTGGAGGGCGTTTGGCTTAGACTGGAGGGTAGTGAGTAGGTTGGGAGTGGTGGGTTGGGTGGGGTACGGAGGAGAGGGTTGGAGAGGGTGGGAGAGGGTTGGGAGAGGGTTGGGAGAGGGTTGGGGAGGGGGTTGGGGTTGGGAGTGGGTTGAGTTGGGAGTGGGTTGGGAGGGTTGGGAGTGGGTTGGGTTGGGAGAGGGTTGGGAGGGAGTGGGTTGGGGTGGGTTGGGAGGGGTTGGGAGTGGGTTGGGAGCGGTGGGTTGGGAGAGGGGGGAGTCGGTTGGGAGGGGGTTGGGAGTGGAGAGGGTTGGGAGAGGGGGTTGGGAGGGTCGGGTTGGGAGAGGGTTGGGAGGGAGTGGGTTGGGGTGGGTTGGGAGGGGGTTGGGAGTGGGTTGGGAGTGGGTTGGGAGTGGGTTGGCACCCAACACCATGCTTACGAAGACGACCCAGAGAAAGCTGTGACCGAACACCACACTTACGAAGACGACCAAACAAACATGCATACCCCCAACACCCTTTCTTATAAAGTGAGAACACCTACTTTGTAGACACCAGAACAATGCGTGGACTCCACCCTACACCCCAACTCTGGACCTAAACCCGCGACCCTCTGCACCCTAACTCAGACCAGAAGCCCCAGACCCCAATCCTCGGACACTCTATTCAGCCTACACCCCAACACTCCTGAGACCCTCGACCCTCTTGACCCCAATCGGAACTCTCCTCCCAGCTTCAATTACCTATACTAATTTGAGGGGTTCCCTCAACAACTATAGTATCATGGGCCCTACTCTAACTCGAACTCTTCAGCCAAGGGGGCATTCATCAACTTCGCGACCTCGGGGTCCTCCTGCATATGTTCGAGCTCATGCCTCGGTGATTGCTTATAATTATACAGGGCTCTTTTATAATAAAAAATAACAGTGGCTTTTAATTGTTTTCGGGTTTGGTGGCTTGGGTTTTAGGGTTTAGGGTTTAGGGTTTGGGGTTTAGGGTTTAGGGTTTGGTTTTAAGGTTCCGGGGTTTGAAGGTTGGGGGTTTAAGGTTTGGGGATTGAGGGTTTGGGGTTTCGGATTTAAGCTTAGGGGTTTAGGGAACACAAGTGGCACCATCGTGTCCAAGACGATCGACAACTGTTCAGCACTACGCCGCCGAATACTAAGGGACTTCTTGCTAGTATCTTCTACGTCGCACACACCCTCCTAGATCCTAAACCCTGAAACCCAAACCCCCTTATAAACCCCAAACCGTGAACCGTGAAACCGAACCCCCAAAAAAAGAACTTAAACCCGAAGCCCCAGGCTTTGTGTCATGATTGGAACGGGCCCCCAGCGCCAGCTTCGTGCTGAGGACATCCTTGGAAGAAGGCGATCTCTGGGTTTCAGGATGGAGCGCCGAGTAGCTTAAGGCGGTAGTGCTTAGGAGATTTTAGGACGTAGGGCTTAGGGCTTCTAGCATTTAGGGTCTAGAATGTAGGATTTCGGGTTTAGGATTTAGGGTTTAAGCTTTCGAGTGGAGTGGGGGCCGGGCTGGCAGAGGAAAGGGCGCTGCGACGGGTTTAGGGTTCAGGGTTCTTGGGAGGCAAGGGAGTTGCGGGCTTGAGGCTTCGGTCATTTGGGTTTAGGGTGTAGAGCTTTAAGGGTTTACACGTTCAGGGTTAAGAGCATTTAGGATTTGCGGGTTCAGATCAAGATGTAGACGCATCAGGGCAGAGTAGCACAACAACTAGTCAAAGTCAGTTGGAGACCTGCCAGAGCAAGTAACAGCTGAAACAAAAGAGCAGGCAGTGATTGCTACTACTACTGCTGCTGCTGAGCCTGCTCCTGCTCCGGCTCGGTACTGCTGCTGCTGGTTGCTGCCAATACGCCTCATCCTCCTCCTACGCTTATCTCCTCCGCCTCAGCATCCGCCGCCTCCTCCTCCTACTACCACTAGTGACGACTGCTACTACTACGACTACTACTACTACTACTACTACTACTACCACGACTACGACTACGACTACCACTACCACTACGACTACCACCGCCACCATACCGCGCGGTATGTTTGCACCATCATCAAGATACCAGAGGTATCATGAATTCTGTAAATTGCGCAAGCTGCAGACTGGATGTCCAAGGTTGTCCGAAGGTCCGGAAGATTGCAGCAAGATTGTTTTGCATTTTCGGGTTTAGGATTTTGGGAGCCGCCTCGAAACTCGAAATTTTAAACCCCAGCTCCTGCAACCTCTGCCTACACAAAGTAATATGGGAGCCCCCACGGAAGCTGCCGGCTGCACTGAGAGCTTCTGGTCCTGTCATTCCCAATGTTGATTGCATCTCAAAGGGCTCGGATTTAGGGTTCAGGGTGGGCACTTCCACAAGTCCCAAGCACTGCATGGCAAAACTGTTCAAATTTTGCTCAATCCTCTTGGCGATGCAGGATGTCGTCCATAGTCACTTTGCTTCTCATTCTGGAGCGGAGAGCCTCATGGCGTGAGGCTCCCCGCTCAAGCTCTATCTGAGGCCGCTTCACGGCAACACTTCTGTCATGCTGGCTTCTCATGTTCCTCCGTCTGTAGAGCACTTCTCCGGAGTAGCCTGAAACGTTTTGAGCTTCTTATGAAGGCTTGTTTTGGCACGCACACGAGCTTGTGATGCTGGCGCATGTGCTCGCATTCCCAGCGCTGCGTACGTCATGCCTTGGAGGCTGCCTTCCGGCTGTACTCCCGCCGAAGTACATCCAAGGCAGGCGGATTTTCGATGCCAACGCAGGCCCACATCTTGACCATACCCGCTTGCACTTACTCCCATGCATCGGCGCTTACCGCACAGGGTCTTGGCGGCAACTTCGCCCCTGCTTGTCCTCCAGAAGCTCCGTAATGCGCCTTGGGAAGTATGTAATATCAACATGCATGCGAGATCGTCTTTCCGCCTAGAAGGTCAACCTACACAGTAAAACTTGTTCTAGTGTTTGCGGCCCGACTTTTCTTTTCTTCCAACCACTGGCTTGGACTTCTGTTCTTGAGACATGCCATCGGATGATCGAGCAGAATCCAACAGCGGACGGTGTTCTGAAACCCATTTTTCGAATTTCAGTCGCTGAGCTTGCGAGAACAGATTTGGAATCGCATGGCGGCGGTCGTCCTTCAGGTTTCTCGGTCAGAAGTTCAGACTCCTCCCGCGAGTCTGCGTTGGCAGGGGCAGCGGCGGCAGCAGCATTGGCCCCGGCGGAGAATCTGCGATGACGACTGCTTTGCCGACAGGTGCTGCCGGGTGGATTTTTCGTCTCAGTAGGCTTGGACCTTGAAGGCTTGGTGCATCCTTCCCTGTCGTAGTTCTGGCGAGCGACCGGGTCCTTCAAAGTCTGGAACGCTTCGTAGACCTGGCGAAAGGTTTCCTTGGTCCCGCCCTTATCTGGATGCACCTGCAATGCCCTTCTCTTGAGGGCCCTTTGATCCCCCCACCTGCAACAGCTCGCAAAAGGATGTCCCAGCCATCGAGAACAATTTCTATGAAGCGACTGGTCGAATAGTCCGTACAAGGACTTACTAACTAACTTACTTACTCACTAACTTACTAACTGACTAACTTACTAACTAACTAATTCACCAATTACTTCACCGATTAATTCACCAATTAGTTCACCAACTCACTAACTAACTAACCAACCAACTATCTAGCCAACTAACCGACTCATTCATTAACTAACTAACCAACTAACTACCTAACAAACGAACCCACTAACCAGCTAACCAACTGATTGATTAACTAACTAACCAGCTAACTGACCAACCAACCAACCAACCAACCAACTAACTATCGCTTTCAGCAAATTCTAGCAGTGCCTTCCATGGGTTTCAAAAGCTCCCACCTGCCACAGCTTCACAGGAATCCAGCAAACAATCATCAGTTCCAGTGGTTCTGCCAGCCATGCTGGCTCAGTAGTAGTGAGTAGTAAGTAGTAGCAAGTAGTAAGTAGTAAGTAGCAAGTAGGAAGTAGTAAGTAGTAATAAGTACGCATTAGCAAGTCACCTGCAGTATGAGTCAAGCCCGAAAACTCTCACACCTCCGAACCGTAATATGGAAGCCAAAAGACCCCCTACGCAGCTCACTCACCGGTCCTCGGAACAGACCTGGCAGACACGGACAGCCAACCGGGGTGCTGGGCTTGATCTCGGGGCTAATGCCTTAAGGCTAAGGGCCATCTTGGCTAAACACGGAAGGTGTGGGCAAACCTAGCACCACTCCCTATGCTTTTCGTGCTCATCCAGACTCTCGGCAGCAATACGTTTCAGCTCAGAACCTCGATGCTGCACTATATATCTCGATGGTTTGGGATCCGCACCTGTGCGGTTCCTAGACCCTAAACCCTCGAGGTTGCAACTCCTCCAGTGTTCAGCAGTCTGAAAGCCATACGGAATCCGGCACCCTAAACCCGAGCTCGGTAATTGTGCAACAGGTGCGCATGTTTGGGGTTTTGGGGTTTAGGGATTACGGTTTAGCCTGTAGGGCTGCATACACGAATGTCCGTGGATATGCATACATGAACAGATGCATATGTATCTATATGTAGAGAGTGTCGGCGTTGGGGGGCGCTAAACCGTCTGTTCCACTCGCTCCACTCGCTCCACTCGCTCTACCGTTCCACTCGTTCCACTCGCTCCACTCGCTCCACTCGCTCCACTCGCTCTACCGCTCCACCACTCGCTCCACTCGCGCCACTCGCGCCACTCGCGCGTATATGTATTTATATGTGTATATATATATATACACATATATACATGCATGTATGTGTGTATGTATGCATGCATGCACGGATATATGTATGTATGTATGTATGTATCTTCTGGATACGCTTCTGTGGATATGCATGATAATAGATATAGATAGACATGTGTATTCATGTATATTCTGGTATCTACATATACATGTAAACAGATATACAGGCGAGTCTGCATGCATATGTCTATGTCTATGTCAATGTCTATGTCTGCGTCTCTGTCTCTGTCAACGCGCATGTGTATGTTTTGTTTTATCAGCACATACATACAACCATACATACATACAAACAGGCATACAGCATCTAGATAGATAAATAGATAGATAAGTAAATAGATGGCTCAATTGAAAGGCAGAAAACAGATCCATAGAGCGAAGGACAGCTAGACTCAGCCATATGAGTACGTACATATATACATGTGTACATACATACAAAGATAGGTAGATACATACCTAGATTGATTGATTGATTGTTAAATGAGATAGATAAGACGGATAAGACAAACAGGATAGATAAGATAAATCAGGTACATAAGATAGATAAGATGGGTAAGATAGCTAAGCTAGGTATAGTAGAGAGATAGGATAGGTAGATGGATGTATAGATAAACAGATAAATAAATGGGTGGGTGGGAGGGTGGGTGGCTTGGCGGGTGGGCAGGTGGGCGGGTGGATAGATGGGCGGACAGATAGACAGACAGACAGACGGATAGATAGACAGACGCATCGATCGGTCGACAGGCAGAAGGGTTGATGGACAGATGAAGTAGCTAGCTAGCTACTTAGATCTGTCGGTCGATGGATAGCTGGACAGAAACAGAGATACATATTTCGGTTTCAAGGATGCAGAACCGGTGTCCACAGCCTCATAATGCCCTCAACACGAGGGTTCAGGACTGGGGAACTGGTGCTGTGAGGGTTAGGTTTCAGTCCAGGGTCGCAGGTGCAGAATTGAGGATTCAGTCGACTGCCCTAAACCCTAAACCCTCTTTTGGTCAGAAGCATTAGGGCTTAGGATAGGATTCAGGGTTTCTGATACCGCCTTCGGCCCGCTGATGACACTGATCCCGGGCATCTTCGCTGCCAGAGAGTTGTGATAGAGCCAGCAGGCCCCTGAAGGCCTCAATGCAGGGTCCCTGATTCGGGTTTAGGGTTTGAAGGGTTTAGGGTTTAGGGCCCATCGGATTCGAATTCAAGGTCCAGGGTGAGGTGTTAGTGCTTAGGGTCAAGGGGGTCAAGGGCGCAGGGAGCAATTGGAGCTGTGGATTTGAGAGCCCCGGATTTTCTGGTTGGGGTTTAAGGCTTAAGGTCTTGGATTCCCGGGGTAGGGATTTGGCAGATGTACCGTTTAGAGTTTGGGGAAAGCCCTGAACTGCCTATCCGCATGATGAACCCAAGCTCCGCTCCTTAAGGTTTAGGGTTTAGGGTCGCGGAAATCTAAAACCCCTGAAGCCTAGGCCCCAAAACCAACTTTACGGCACTCCATGAGCAAGACCACATTAGAAATCAAGACCCTTTCAAGACCCTAACACCCCCTAACACCAAACCTTTAAGCTCCGAAGCCCCAAAACTTGAAACCATTCACCCACCAGGCATCCAACAGCCTTTATTTAAAAAACTCTACTGGGACCTTTATGGCTTTGTAACCCTTGAAGCATCCCTTTGACAAAGTAGCGCTGATAGTAGCCCTTCCTGAGCACATCCCTTTAAGCTACTGGCGCTTATAGGATCGCTCCTGGGGCTCTTGAGGGAAGCCTTAAAAAATCGAAACCCTATAGGGTTTAGGGTTTAGGGTTTAGGGTTTAGGGCTTAGGGTTTAGGGTTTAGGGTTTAGGGTTTAGGGCTTAGGGTTTAGGGTTTAGGGTTTAGGGTTTAGGGTTTAGGGCTTAGGGTTTTTTTTTTTTTTTTTGAGCGCCTTTTTCCATCTGCCTGGAAGGAGTCCGGAATCTGCGTAGCAGAAGGCTCTGAACCCTTTAACTCTCAGTAGTGCTTGCACCCCTTCGACCGTCACCTTCTCCATCATCCGGTTTCGGGATCTCTTCGGCATTCTCGACATTCCCTGACGCCCCCAGCCCTTGATGCCCAGCGATATTCTGTGCATCTGAACCTCCTTGATCATCACACAACTCCAGGAGTTCATCAGCGTCCCATACGACCATCGCGGCAAGCTCGTGCCTGCACCTTTCCACCCCTTCGTCTCGCATACGGCGGAACATCCGTAGCCAAGCTGGACCATAGATCTCGTCGACTGTCTCATTGCGGAGTAGACCACGCAACCACCGTCCATGGACTTGTTTGACCACACTGTAAGAAATGCGGCTGGCAGAGACATCGCCTAGGCTGGCACCAGGATCACTCACTCCAACAGACGGGCCAGGGTCGACGTGAGTCGGGGCCACGTCCCTTTCCGGACTTCCACGATCCATCTGTAGTACATCTCCAAGTTGGTCCCGAATGGAGTCTAAACCGCCCTGCCGCCAAGCTCGAAACAATGCGAGCCAACGAGCCCCAAAGGCCGCCTCCACATTACCATCCGTCCGTAGCCCTTGTTTCCATTGTCCATACATGCTTTCGAAGAAGGGGAACTCCGGCTTGGGCATGCCTGGCATCAACACAGG